AGCATTTGGGTTGGTTCCGTGATTTTGCTATTGTGAATTCTGCCGCCATAAACTTGTGTGTGCAAGGATCTTTTTCGAGTAATGACTTCTCCGGCTAGATACTCAGTGGTGGGACTGCTGGATCAAATAGCAGTTCTACTTTTAGTTCTTTAAGGAATCTCCACACTGTTTTCCGTAGTGACTGTATTAGTTTGTATTCCCACCAGCAGTGTAGAAGTGTTTCCTGTTTACCGCATCTCCACCAACATCTATGTTTGTTTATTATGGCCATTTTTGCAGGAATAAGTGGTTTTGCATTGTGGTTTTGATTTGCATTTCCCTGATCATTAGTGATGTTGAGTATTTTTTCATATGTTTTTTGTCCATTTGTATATCTTCTTTTGAGAATTGTCTGTTCATGCCCTTAGCCCACTTTTTGATGGGATTGTTTGATTTTTCCTTATTAATTTGTTTGAGTTCATTGTAGAGTCTGGATATCAGTCCTTTGTCAGATGTAGAGATTATGAAGATTTTCTCTCACTCTGTGGGTTGTCTATTTACTTGGCTGACTGTTCTTTTTGCTGTGCAAAAGCTCTTTGGTTTAGTTAGGTCTCAGCTATTTATCTTTGTTTTTACTGCATTTGCTTTTGGGTTCTCTTGGTCGTGAAATTCTTGCCTAAGCCAATGTCTTTTTCCAATGTTATCTATTAGAATTTTTATAGTTTCAGGTCTTAGGTTTAAGTCCTTAATCTATCTTCACTTGCTTTTTGTATAAGGTAATAGATGAGGATCCAGAGTCATTTTATCTCCAAAGCCTTGGTACTTGGGTAATGATCAGCAGCAGCAGGCATTATGAGACAGAATACGTTATGGATAATTCTCTATCACTGTGACCATCATATTAATAGCAACGGTAGAATTGACTTGCAAAATGTATTGCAGTCATGCCATGTGGCCAAATACTTTTCTTACTTGATCTCATTTAATTCTATTATGCTTTAAACTCCCAATTTATAGGTGATACAGCCGAAGCTCGGGGAAGTGCAGCACCTTCTTCACACACCTAGGATGTAGCCAGAACAAAGACACAAACTCATGTTTTGTCTCTCTCCAGTGTGACTGCTCTGAAGCTCCATAAGCTATGGCTTCCTCACTGATTTCATAAAGTCAGTGAAAAAGAGCTTTCACGTCAGTTACTAGATATCCCAGAGACACGAAAAAGTACATTTAAATAAAATTTATTCTCAGTGAATAATGGAAAGAAATCCACATTTCAACACATAGCGTAATGGGCTGGTATAGGTACTCTGGTTCCAAATCTTCTATTCCTCTGCTTTTCTTTGTGGATGAACACTCGATATGGAGATTTTAAATATTAGCTGCAAAGTGTGAAGTTGAACAAGGTGAAAATAAACAGAAACAACTCTTTTAAGAAGCAGGACTGTTCCCTTTTAGGAAAGTAGCTAAACAATTCCACTTGGGTTGTATTCCCTTTAGCAGTTGGTCACTAAAGATATGAATGAAAAAATAA